ATCATTTCTCTGCAGTCTGGTTTAGTTTCTTGCTTCAAACTTGTACACAGAATGACATGTTCTTATGGTGTGTTGTATTCCCTTGTCTGTAACTTAAAACTGAGTTGGACAGTGGGGTTACTTATCATTTCACTACATCTGGACTCCATACTTTCATATTGGCTCATTCCTTTGAGAATTGACTTCCTTTAAACAGACACATGATCTGAAATATCAAAATATCTTTTCTTTTTGTTGTCTGAGAAAGATTTTTGCCCCTGGTATGTCTAACCAATACTGTTTTTAATCATTTGGTGGCTAAGGTCAGTAACTGATATATATATATATATATATATATACTAATGGTTGAGCAGGTAACCATAGGTAAGTGTGTCTTTTATGGAAGTTTCATAGGCGGTGTTACAAAATTCCTTACATCATTATTTAAGCTTTTCTTCAGACCTCAACAGTTGTTTCCATTGTCCTTTCAGACATCATGTTTGACTGAAGGAACTTTAAAGCTTCAATTGATATTCCTCGGCATGTTGAGATGCATGGTCAGACATGACTTCATCAGGTGAATCATGTCAAGTGAACTGTGCCTGACTCTGTGTTATGTAGTTTGTAGATATGTATGCTTGGCCATTTCAATAAATTTGGAGCATCAATCTACAAATATGTAGAAGTATAACAGTAATAAAAATTATTTCATTTGGTATAGCGCCTTTTATGTCAATATCAATTATCACTGTCAAACTAAAAAAGATGTACTTCACCTTCTGCCATGGGCTTTCAGAAAAAAAATTTTCAACCCAACTGTACAGCAAATTTTTGCTCTGGAGATGAAACAATTGGGAGGAGACATGATCAAGGTATTTAAAGAACAGGATCAATCATACTGGTTCCTGATAGCCTAACGGGTAGGATAGTGCCAGCTGGCAGAATGTGCTGGTGACAACTGGTACCAAGCAACAATAAGCTGCGATTTGGAGAAGGAAAAGAAAACATTGCTTTCAAGGGGTTCTCCCTTTACCAAAACTATTTGAAAATGTTTGGCCGGGGAAAGAAGACGAGCCATACATCATTTTTATTGCAATGTCATCCTGCCTAATAGCATGTTCTAATACAATTTACATGATTGCAGTATGTGTTGGAACAGAAAAGGTTCACTAAGTACATTTTTTATAAAGACGGACCTTTTTATTGAATAATTATTTTTCTTGTGCCAAGGTTGTCTTGTTTAAATCAACTAAGAACATTAACGATTGCAAATCAATGAACCCCAAGGAAATGAACTAATCTTGAAAGAATAAATGATATGATGTTGTCTACTTATGGGAAGTAAGATTGGTGTTCATGAATAATATATGCAATTTGTTGTGAAGTGCTGTTAAGATGAAGGAAACCTCCCTGCAAGAGATGCTTGTCCAAGCAATTTCTCACTGCAGAATTGCCATTGATCACATTAAATACTGGGAGTAATTTCATGCCCCAGAAATTAGAGGATCTATTTATTTTATTAGAATGATAAAGCCTAAAGTGAGGTGCAGCAGTCACACTCCTCCTGAATGGAATTTTCTAAAATGTTAATATAACAATGTAGTAATCCTTGCATTTGATATAACTCCTTATTACATATTTGAGATGTCTCAAAGTGCTTCACAGAATATACTGTAAAGTTAATTGACTGTTCATATTTTGTGGGCAAAAAGCAGCAGCCACATCCAACAAACAGTCGTGAGTTGAATGACCAAATTTTGTTTTTTGGGAGGCATTATTCCCCATCAATCGACTAACAACCGGGTTCCTGCTTACTGCTAGGTAAACAGGCATGAGGGGTAAGGAAACTTGCCCAACGTTTCGCCCTGCTGGGAATCAAACTCAGGTCTCTCACTTGTGAGACGAGTGCTCTAAACACTAAGCTACAGGACTCATATGACCACAATATTTTTTATATAATGCTGCAGATTGCTGCTTACATGTACATTATTTATCTAAGGTAGGTGGCAACCTAGGTGTCTTGCCTCTGAGTTCAAGGCATTCTTTGAGCTGACAGTCTAGGTCATCGTTGTAGACCTGTGACGTAGGTATCCAGCAGTGTCAATGGTGCTGTCCTTTGGTGAGATGTAAAAACAAAGCCTTGTCTGCCTTTTGAGTAAACTTTAAAGTTCCCATGGCACTATTGAAAAGAGAAAGGAGTTTCTCCTCTTGTGCTGGTCAAGAAAACAATTTTCCTCCAGAAAACAATTAGGTCCTTCACTTAGTTTGTGGGATATTGCTGTGCACAAACTGGCAGTTTTATTTGTTTGTAAATGCAGACACTACCCTTTACAGCAAAGGTGGCCAACAAAATACATTTTCCTGATTGAACGTTTCCTAATTTATGCCATAAATCAAGAAATGTTCATTCAAGAAATAACTGAAAATAAACTACTGTTCAAACAGATTTATCTAGACAATTTGCATTTACGTAGTTCCCTTCATGCAGGGTAGCTTCCCTGAGCATTTGACCGTGTGAAAGTTCAGGGGGGGAGAGTGGGGGCGCTTCTTGATAGCCCTACGGTCCTCAGGTTGGTCCTCACTGCTTCACAGTAAATATCCTGTTTGCTGTGAGGTTCGTGCTTTTTTCCAACTGTCAAAAGGTAATGCTCAATCAGTCAGCTCTTGATTTATTGACATTTAATTGTGGTGAACCAGATTTCAGTGCAATGATCAGATAAATCACAATTTCAAATACAAGTTTTTATTGTAGATCTGCATCATGACAGAGAAGCTATGAGAGAAAGGGACTCCTATTGAGAAACAAAGATTCAGATATACACTCAGAAAAACAATCGGAGACAGGCACACAGAGATCGTATTACTCCTAACGGAACATTTTGGGGGAATTGTGCGAGCTGGTTTATATTTTATGCAATGACTAATTATCTATAATGTGGTCTGTCCCAATTAGTGCAGGTAATTGGGTCTCTATTGTAAATGTGTGTAGCTTCAGGTGGTCGGTATGTTTCAAGCAAACCATTTCTGCTGAAGACAGCAGCAAGTGGGGAAATTATTACAATGCTTATGTAAATGAGGAATAGTAATAATTTCATGTTTTTTTATTATACAGGGATTAGTCTCAATCTTTCTGATCTTAGAAAATCAGCACGTTGTCTATTTTGATAATACGGTGAAGTCCTGTTGTAACACAACAAACATTTAACATTTATATATGACCCTTCACTGGTTGATCAAGGGCCAAACACTGATAATAAAAGGTCTGAATGTTCTGAAGATGGTCATAACAATTCTTACAAAAACAGTGATGTTTTTGAACTTTTATATGTAAAGCCTGTAAGATCTGATTAATAAGAAGCTTCCTCAATAAGCAGAAAGTAGATTTTCTTATTCAACTGAATTTGCATTGAACACATATTTGTCTTTCAATACAGGACACTTAATAACATTTTAACCTGCTTATTTAGCTTTTCTCTTTTAAAAGGTCTACCTTGCCCATCTGCTTAGATTGATTGTAAAAATCCTTTTTGATGACTAACATTCGATAATATGGCAGCCAAGTTCAGTTGGTAGCCTCTGAGTTCAAGTTGGGACTTGGAATCAATTATAGTCATTTCTGATACTCCAATACAGTGCCTGGGAAATGCTACATTGTCAGAGTTGCTGTCCTCTGGATGAGACATTCAACTGATGTCCCATCTCTCTTTCCAGGTGGAACATAAAGATCCGACAGCACCGTTCAAAAAGAGATAGGAGTTGATTCGGGTGTCCTGGCACACAATAACCTAAATAAAATTGGTCACTCACTCCGTGGCTAATTGTGGGACATTGATGTTGAAAATTGACTACCACAAAATACAGTCACACAAATTTACAATATATCCCATGAATCACTTTAAGACATTTATCTTGATGACATAATAAGGAGCTATGTCAAATGCAAGCATTTTTTATTATCATTGTGTGAAGTCATGATGGCCTCAAGTGATAATGGTTAGCAGATATAATGTGCTCAAGGTCACACACTGCTGATGTGGTGGCCTTCTGTACAACCAGCTAACAGGGTAGACATTGTTTTCATTCAGTTTAAAAAAAGTGTCCTGTAATTTTTTTTACCTAAAGATTATTCACATTAGATCCAATTATACTGCAGCAACTTAATCCATGCCTTTGATATAGAACCTTAGCACATCCAAATACCATGAAAGCCCTAAATATTTCTGTAGTGAGACTATTTCTCGGCAAATGTGGCAGTCAATTTGCACACAGCATTGTCTATGTTGTTGAAGCAAGTGTCTTGCCAGTAAATGATTGTAAAACTGAATACTGAAAGCTGTGGAGAGCAAGCAGGACAGTGGGAACAGAGTATTTGGTTCCTACGGAGAAAAACACCTACCCACTGCTGCAGGCTGGATGGTCCGTTTCTGTGTTGAAAAAAGAAATCTATGAATCTTTGTGCAAAACTAAATTGGTGTGAGAAACATCGCTCTTGGGCAATGACAAGATCTGTGCAGCAGCAGGATCCTGCATTTTTGACTGTTATCACAACATTCTGATGTGGAATAGCATTAATTGCACTTATCGAAAACATGGAATGTGAATTTTATTAAAAAGGACTGAAATGTGTTCCCAGCATGAAAAAAGATGCCCCACCTTTAGTTGTTGAACCAGTGAAGGTAAGCTATTTGCCGTGAGGTTTGCGCTTTCTTCCAACCATCAAAAGGTAATACTCAATCAGTCAGCTCTTGACTCAGTGACATTTAATTGCTGTGAACAAGATTTCAGTGCAATGATCAGTCAAAAAACATTTCTCAGGGCCTTTGTATACTGTGCTTTCTCTCCAATGTCATTCCGTCCCCAGGGTGTGACAGTAATTGCAAAAATCAAGAGTTTTGTGACCTGGGTAGAATGCTTAAGTATGTCTTGCACATTTGATTACTGAAAATATGCCCTTGTACTGTGTAAACACGACTATAATGACAATTTGAAGAGCCTGCTCCTAATACTTGTCTGTATTGCAGTGCCGTGGTCCTGGACGGTAAAATCTATGCTACAGGAGGAATTGTCAGTAGCGAAGGACCTGCTTTGGGAAACATGGAAACATATGATCCTCGCACTAATAACTGGACACTCTTACCAAACATGCCCTGCCCTGTATTCAGGCACGGCTGTGTAGTCATCAAAAAGTATATTCAGAGTGGGTGACAATATAGTGGTGCGGAACTGTTTTATTCTGCGGTAGCAGTGCTTTAAAACTATGAACATGTCGCTTTTTACTGTCTACATTGGATGTAGATTTCATACTCACCCTTAGGTGAAATTAGGGTAGAAATCCCAAAGGATGTATTATAATATAACTTACAGTACTTTTAGTAGTGTCACTAGCGATGTAGTGGCACTTGTTTTACCTGTAGGTATTGAGCAATTCAGGTGTCAATACCTGCTTTATAACAGTCATCAGTTTTGCTTTCAAACAGTTACCTTTATATTGTTACAATGCTATTTAGAAGGTGGATCAATACTTAGAATGCGACAATTACAGTGCCAGAATGTAGCAGTATGCAGACTATCTGCTAAAAGCAAGACCGTGTCACAGGAATCAGGCAATCCCAGAGAAGTGCTGTGAAGACCTCATGCAATGCAGTTGTACATACGGACAAGACAAACCAGAGTCTTGGATAATTCCATCAACTGTACACACGTCAAAAATTGGCAGCAGCAAGAACTGCCTTAAAATTCTTACCATTAGTACCAAAGCCCTATGAGAAGCCAACACCAGAAATACAAAAAACAATCCTGTCTGGAGGTATTTATACCCAGTAACAATATGGATGACTAAGCTAATGGCTAGGCTAGAGGGACCAATGAGTTTTCTCAGGCCTGAAATTGAGCTACAAGATCTTCCAAAAAAATTGGGGAGAAGAAGGGACATAGATTTGGGACAAAAGAGCGATTTTTCAATAATTTTTAGATCCACTTTGTTTTAGTTTCAGAGTGCCAACGGCTCCCTTTGGTGGTGCTATTAAGCAATACGTAAAGCCGAATTTATTGCTGTTTTAACACAGAGCAGTGAGATTAATCCCTCAAGTGCGTAGAGATTTAGCTGTAATGTCTTACATCGTCATCTGTATTTTTCCATGTTTACATAATAGGTGACATACAAGATACTTGCTGCACTACAATAATCATAGACCTAGGTACTTTTTTTCCTGTAATCCCTTTTAATGGCAGCGAGCTATAAAAAATACTATATAGCTTATATTGGCATGTTCTGTTCCATCACTGAAGTATTTGTCCATTCTATGGTGGTTTTATGAAAATGCTGAACAAATGAAAATGTTCCACCTTATTGCTAACAAAAACAACAAATCTGTCTTGTCAAAATAATTTGCTGTACAATCTTACACTTAAATGTCACCATATGAAGAGCTTGCTTTTTACATACGGTATACACTGGGGGAAAGCTGACATTTTACTCACACCTGGTACTGTATGACTGTGTCAAGACTTATAAGATTGTTGTATTCTGTATTCCTCCTTTCCCTCTAGAGAAGAGATACGTGAGCACAATAAGCTGTTAGCTGTGTTAATTTGTTGCTATCTCAGATAGGCACAACAGCAGTATCAGTGTGTACATCTCCTGCACAAACAACGTACATTTGTTTCTTGGTCAGATCTCAGTTGAATGCAGATAACAGTTTCGACTTTACCGTATGTACTGTATAAATGATTTATGCAGCTACAAAAGGGACAGTGTTCTAAGTTTCACCTTCCAAGTACCGAATATGCCAACTTAGTGCAAAAAAAAACAACTTTTCATCATATATAAGCAGTTTTTTTTTGTAATCTTCCACCCATGAACATGTAAGGTAGAACTGCATAAATATATGGACCAAAAATACTACTGTACAGTATTTTCTGAAATTCAATATTGTAATCTTATTTAATAAATTATTAGGTAATTTTCAACCATATGTTGCCGTGGGCCCATGTCTAAAGAGATGAATTGAAATGTAAGTGAATTACCTAATGCACACATTTAGTTACTTTTTGAAAAAGTGCATCAGCATCAATCAACAAACTATTAACTAAACACACTAACTAGCACTAATAAGATAAAATGTATAGCCGTTTCTAGTTGCAGAGTAATAACCTCTCACAAATTCCTTCATTTTAAGGAGTGTTGCGTTCTATATTACAATTCTAATAGATAAGCGGTTTATGTTCCTTTGGAATAACCGTTGTGCAGCAATAGTGAAGACTTCTTAGCATGACTCCTTTAGTCTTGGATTACTGTATCCAACCCCAACCATAGCCCATTGACAATATAACTAGCTTCTTTTTCTAATCTGTACATTTTATCCAAAAATACTAGATCTTTATCGTTGCAATCTCCTTTAAACTGGTCCTGGACCTGACTTTCTGCTCTCTCCCAGCTGTCACACCCACTCAAAGCGGCCTGATTTTTGTTCTACTCTTGACAGCGTCAGGGGGTGGCGGGGGTATTTGCTTTCCACTCTGAATTCAGTTGTCTGGCTTGCTGCTGGAGGTTTATTCCCATTACTGAGTCATCGTGATCAAAGAGGATATATCACCAGAAACTGCTTGGTTTGCCATAATACACCACATAAGTTTTAGTATTAGTTTATTTTCATTATAGAAAATGGTTATTTCTCTAACCATAGCTCAAAATAGCAGTGCTATTATGAATTGAAGTAAATGGTAGTAGCCACTCCCTATGACTGATTTAAGAGTGTTTTAACTTCTGTTCTGTTCAAACATAATAATAGTAATAATAATCATTACATTTGATATAGCGACTTATCACATCGTTGAGACATCTCAAAGCGCTTCACAGAATATACTGTAAAGTGAATTAATTGTATATTTTGTGGGGGAAACATGAAGAAATCATATAAAAATCACTGTGCTGAACAGGTCTGTTTTTTTGATCTGACAAGATGTAGACAGTCTATACCATGTACTAAATAGAGCTTAAAACATTTCAGATAAACGTCTCTAAAGTCTTGATAACACAGATTTGAGTTTTCTTTAGTGTTCGCAAAAGACCAGGTCACATTTCTGACACAATCAAATATATTGCTTCTCTCTGTACAAATAGTCCAAGGAGATACCTCATCGAATAATTGTGCTGAAAGGAGCTTGTTTGAATTTTTAAGTTTCCACTATAATTAAATCCAGTAAAAAGTCTCAATTTTAGTTCATGATTTCACAATGTTCTCCACGTTTAGTTCTCCACTGAACAGAAAGAACAAAATTAAAGAGTGCAGATTAGATAAAGAAGGTACTCAAAACTATGCCATAAATATTTCACTTGCTCAGAAAAACACAAGGATGTAGAGTGAACTTGGGAAGAGAAATGGAAGTACATTTTAAAATGTTCTGTTTTCTCAAACAGTAATTAGAACAATAGAAGGTTTTTGGAAAACAAATTTGTTTGCATTAAAGCATTGTGTTAACTAATTACAGCATATGACATCATTTTGTATGCAATAAAGTGCAATATTCATTTGAATGCTGTGTTTAAGTTCTCTCTATAAATAGGATGCAATAATATTAATTGTCTTTACCCTAAGAGTAAAGCGTTGGTAAAGTGCAGTTTTGAGAATTTTTAAACAAAATGTAATCATTATATGCCAATTCACTAAAATATTAACCATCAAATTAACAGTTCATGTTTCTAATGCAATATGCATAGAAATTACTAACCATTACTCAGGCAGAACTACCACCAATTACAAATTGTTGTTATCAGAGACAAAACAAGGGGAAAACAAGATTTTAGAAAGATTCAAATTCCTGAAATTTGCCAAATCAGGAACAAATCATGTTATTGACCAACTGAGAACCATGACCGAACTCACCACCAATATGCTATTCATACACCATTGCAAAGCATGCACTCCACTGATTTATTTGTGCAACAAATGTGCTCACAATATTATTTCAATATATATTATGAATACCAAAATACCAAACTCACTAATACAACAAAGCACATTTATATTGTGTCTTTCATATAACAGAATATCTCAAAGTACTTTAGGGAATTAATCCAAAGCAATATAAGGAGAATGATACACACACACACACACACAAAGACATTCCCCACACACCAAAGATCTTGGAGGTTAGAGACACAGAAAGGTTTTTATGTGGGTGATCAAGAATATGAAAACGAGGAAGACTACAGCAGAGGGAAATAACTCCCTCATTCATGTTGGGGAACAAATTAATTCTCCTTAACAATAATTTATATAACACAGCACTCTTCATGTAAGGAAATCAAACCATTCAGGCTACTTTTTCTTTTGAAAATGATGATCAAAATACCAAACCTCACACATACAACATTTCCATTGATACACTAATAGTACCCTTCACGTAGAAGAATGTCTAAAAGGGCTTTACAGAGGCAGGATGGGAGATGAGAGATAGGTGGTCTAAGACGATACCAAAGAGATATGTTAAGAATTGAGAATGAACATACCTGCTTCAAAAACAATGCAAACTATACAGGAATTAAACAGATAGCGCCCAGAGAACTTTTCTGCATACTTGCCAATGTGGTGCCAAAAGCACAAGCAACAAAAAGATATTTGCTCAGTCTTTTGAATATCCTGGACTTGACCAAGACTACACAAAGAACATGATCGTTTTCAAAGGGAAATTTACAGGCAAGTAAAATTCCAGCACTATAATTCCTTGTAACAAATTAAGCTCAAAACAAATTTAGCAAAAAGCTCTACTAAATTGGGATACGGTAATTAGACTCCAGCTGATATCTCAGTAAGTTCCATTTGTTCAACAACAACTTGATTTTATATAGCGCTACTCACACAGGGTAATGTCTCAGTGGCTTAGCCAGGGGATGGGGAGAGGAAGGTGTTAAGGTGCTACCTGAAGATGGAGAAGGGAACAAGGCAGACAAATTGAGGAACAATGGTTCAGATTTTCAGGGAGTAGTGGCCGCCGAAGGTGGAACAGAGGGCACAAGGGACAAGGAGGTGATGGGTAGTGGATTGGGTAGTTCACCATTGCAGTTCACTCTTTCATCAGTGCATCAAAAAACAGTCAATCGATGTTCAAAAACTGGAGCAAGAGATTTAATGAATTATAACTCGGGAAGTTGAGATCTTGTGAGTTTATACATAACAGATTTCTCATCCCAGAAGAGCAGTACTAATTAAATAAGAGATGTAATCTTCCAGGCACCTTTCACTAACCTTTTCACTATATACAACATCATCATCAATGTTCTCACTCTCTCTCCTTCCCTTCACCTAGGAAAGTGATGACTGCCAAATAAGCCATTAACAAATTTGGTGCTGAATGTTTAGAATGACAAATGGCTGCTAGATATTTAGAAAAATAATACATAGAACATAATAGCCACAGTAGTGGAAAGAATTTTCCTTGCACCAATCGTTACACAAAGAATTCCCATTATTGAAGCAGTAAAATTCTTCCATCAATAAGATGTTCCTCTTGAGAGCCAGGCTGATTAATAGTAGCTTTTAAGGAAGGCATAATGACAATACTGGTCCTCCAACAAGAACATCATGATGGCCTGGTTATTCGGTTCCTATAAGTTAGAGGTCTAGATTTACAACAGTACTAATAAAAATGCTTGCATTTGAGCAGCTTTATCACATCGAAAAGTCTCAAATCGTTCACAGTAATTACTGCACAGTGACTATTTATAGACATATATTGCAGCCAATTTGTGCACAGGAGTGTCCCACAAACAGCTAGTAATTGAATGATCAAATTAACTGGAGAACCCTTGGCCAGGGCACAAGGAGAAACTTCCTTCTCTTTTCAAATAGCATTTGATGGGTTTGTTAATGCCCATCTGAGCAGGCAGACACAATCTCGGTTTAACATCTCATTTTAAGTACCTTCAATAATGCTGCACTCCTCCATCACCGAACTAAAGTATCAGCATAGATCAGGGGATCCAACCTGTCGATCTCTGTTAGGCAGCATTCATGCATGCTCAATAAAATCTAGAGGCAGGAGCGATATTTACTGCAATATAAGTATGAAAGTTTATATTTGTATTTCTAGATGCATGAAATACTTTGTGCACCTGGCTTCATTTTCAATTCGTCTCAATAACGATGCATTTCGTTTTGCTCCTTCCTCTTGTCTTTGTGATCATGCGCAACATTGCCACTGAGCTGTGATCGGCCGGTTGGAGACCCCTGGCCTAGACCATAAGCACCAAGTCCCTGACACAACTTGAATACACACACAGGAAGCGAGAGTACTACCAATCTAGTCAGGCTGAAACCCAGACCGCAAGTACCAAAAATATCGTGCACTCGATCAAGCCTTAAGGATAAGGACAGGCCATTGTTTGAGAGAAAGTGAGAAGTCATTTACCAGAAAAAAAACATTTCCTTTACAGCACTCTGAGACGTTGTCCTGCATGAAGAATGCAAGTTATTGTTGATGTTGACCAGCTAGAATCACACTGTTAGTGTAATGGCTTGCAAGATTCTCAAGAGGCAAGTTACAAGAATTACACCCCCCGGTGACAGGCATTTCCCTCCCAAGTTCCAATAATGCAGTAGGCAGACTGGTCACCGGAGTAAATGTGGACTCTTCGGTGTCCGATTACAGATTCCACCACAGATTTAATTTAGCTCCACCCTCCCATCACCAGCCACATTACCTGGGAATTAATTTAGTTTACACTTATGCTCTCCCAAGAAGTGTAGTCACAAGTTGGTCATCAGACAATGAAAAGCCACAGGTTTGAGCTCTAACTAAACAAGGAACCTAATCCAAATCTTGTGATGTGTAATATATCATCGAATTATATAGCACAGTAGTAGGCCATTTGGCCCATTGTACCTGTGTTGGCTCTTTTAAAAGAGCTATCCAAATCAATCCCATTCCACCACTCTCTCCCCATAGCCCTGCAAACTTGTCCTCCCCAATAACATCACGAAGAGAATTAGTGCAATACCACCATCCTCCAAATCCACAGCCATAAGCGACCTAATTGCAATTCCACAAGCTCAAGCGCAGAGTAGCTGCTCCGCATACCAACCAGGGTAAGTAGCAACTTTTTGATACAACAACCAAGTTTCGGTAAAATTTTCCCAACAGCTCAGAAGTTGCTATTCCATCAACAGACAGAAAAACAACCAGACCACCTCTGACGAGTTAAAACAATTATTATATTTTCTGTCAATAATGCCAAGACTAATCTTAGCAATATGCATTATCACAAGGACTTACCTGTTAGCAGTAAGGCATCTGAAAATTTACAACTTTCCACAAAGAATTGATGTTATGATTACTTCTCTAAAAAATGCAACATGTTTGTACCGCACAGTACCTCAACTACGTACAGATATGATTTATAGCCAGCCAAGAATAATAAGCCACATTTAAGAAGCATGGACCTTGAAATCAACATGGATGTCAACTCTCTGATGACTCAAACTGGTGATATTTTCACATTGCAAAGGCCTGTTTTACATTTAATCTAAATACACAGATACAACAATATTCTTGCTTCTCACTTTATTCAAGTATTTCACAGCAGTTGGCTTACAAATTACAGTAAAAGTGTTCCAAATTCCAAAAGTTTCAAAACAAAACATTTAAATAACTTATTTCGTACTAATGTGAAATTCAAAAAAAATGGAAAGTCATTTTAATACAATGCTCAATAAACTATAGAATTCAATATATAGCATAGTTAATGTTGCAAAGCTAAGTATTCAAACAAAAATAGACACACCTTTATAATAAACCAAAACAGGACACCAATAACTAACCAAATAAATGTACAAATACAACAGTCGATGCTGCTTTCGAAAGGAATTCAAGCTTATATTGTGATCATGTGTGAATCCCATGTTCAGCTACACGACCTGGCATTACCATATTCAGTGGAGGTGGGAATATCATGGAACATACAACATAAAACTTAAAAATGGTAGACAAATATTTTACGGAAACAAATCTACACAACACACTGGCATGGGGGGGCAGGGGTGGGGGGGAGGGGGGAATTGACAAATTTGGTAAACCTGCTAAAAACAGTTGCAGATTTTGTTAAATGCTACCAATGCTGCTACTGGCACAGGACGTTAAATTGAAATGGAATAGAGAACAAACAAATCATTTTGAAAACAGTAAGGACGCAGCAGTTCCTGAGACCTATTTAACCCTTTTATCAGAAACGTGCTACAAAATTCAGCTATATTTTTCAACAAATGTACAGTTTGTAATAACAATTTTCCAAATTTGCTCCATACAAAATGCTGTTACCTTAGTGTAATTTAGACTGTAAAATACCCTCTCACAGTTACATTTTTTCAATAAATAGGTAAGGAAAACATCACTATGAAAACGTGTATCAATCAAATTTATGTGAGTGACTATTA